AACAATTGTTTAATCACCAAAAAAGGAAGCCTGAAAAGACACTTAGCAACCTCATAACTGAGCATGAAAGTAAAATGTTAATTACAGGCAAAACAATGGAACCATCAAATTTTAAGAATGGCAAAGATCCTTATCACATGAATGCCATCAGAAAACAGGCTAAGACAACATTCAAAGAGAGAGAAATGAAACGCCTTTACTGATAAACATTTAATGATATTTACTTTAAAATTGAAACAGTTAGGGAGAGATGAACAGAAGATCCAGATACAAAAATGAAAAATCTGTATTGGTAAACTTTTAACAAAAGATTCTTTTAAGATTAAACAAATAAGGGAGAGGTGAAAGGAATACGAAACATCGCAAATAAATTGACTAGATAATAGTTCACAACTTCATAAGAAATCTTCACTGAATAAAATTGGTGTAATGTTAATTGACACAGCACCACTTGAAATTGGGAGGAACCCATAGAAAGAGTTGACACCCATTTTTGCAAAGTAGGAATCAAAATACTACTAAAATAAGAGATAACCAGGTGTACAGCTGGATGAACACAGCAGGCCAAGCAGCATCAGAGGAGCAGGAAAGCTGATGTTTCGGATCTGGACCCTTCTTCAGGAAATTTTGATTTTCTGGCAAATACATTGTTGGTGAGGTGGTGCATCTCTTCTAGTTTGTTGTGTTTAATAATTGCCAATGTGTCATATCGGATCCACAGTTTGGGTTGAATGTGGAGGGAGGGGTGGTGGTGGTGGTGGTGGGGGTGGGGGAGGGGCAGGGGAGGGGGGGTGGGTGGGGGTTTGCTGGGTGATGTGTTCTAGTCTTTCCATGACATTGCAAGATTAGAACACACCACCTTCACCCGCATTCAACCCAAACTGTGGATCCAGTACGACACATTTGTAATTATTAAACACAACAAACTAGAAGAGACCCACCACCTCACCAACAACATATTTGCCAGGATTAAATTCACAAGAGAAGAAGAAAACAACAGTCAGCTTCCGTTCCTGGATGTCAGAGTTGAACGCATGACAAACGGGGAGTTCCAAACCTCAGTATACAGGAAAGCAACCCACACTAACCAAATCCTAACTTCCACAGCAACCACCCCAACGTCCACAAACAAAGCTGCATTAGAACACTATTTAAATGGGCCACGACTCACTGCAACACTCCAGAACTATGCAGGAAAGAGGAAGAGCACCTATACAAAATTTTTGTTACAAACAGATATTCCCGCAACTCCATCCGCAAGTGCCAACTAAATGGACAACAAAAAGAGGACACAGTACACCCTAACACACTGGCCATACTGTCCTACATCAAGAACATATCAGAACTGACAACAAGACTCCTAAGACCACTAGGAATCATGGTGGCATACAAGCCCACAGCCACTCTACAACAAACACTCACAAGGATTAAAGACTCCATTCCCACAACATGCAGAACCAACGTAGTTTACAAAATACCAGGCAACAACTGCCACAAACATTACATCGGACAGACAGGAAGGAAGCTAGCCATCAGAATACACGAACGTCAGCTAGCAGCAAAACAGCATGACAAATCCTCCTTAATATCAGTACATTCAGACAGTGAAGGCCATCAGTTTAACTGGGACAAGATAACCATAGTAGCCCAAGCCAAACATAGACAAGCACAGGAATTCCTAGAGGCATGGTTCTCAACCCCTAATGTACTCAACAAACATAGAATTGGACACCACATACAAACCCGTACAGAACAAAACCAGAAGTGACACTACTCACCATAACGGACCAGACAGTATAAATTCCAAGCAGAGTTGAACAACACTGCTTCATCAAAGGCCGCACTGATGATGTTACCTAGCACGGTGATGAAACATCTGAACGAAGAGCAGGTAAAACCCTGAATATTGATCGATATTCTATTCTTAGCTATTCTTAGATATTCCTAGATGTTCTTAGACATTCTTGAATATTTATAAATAGCATCAAACTGGATTTTGTTAGTTTGATCTTTTGATACTTTTAGCACATACTTGGGAAAAGTGTATTGTCTGTTAGTTTCTGTTCAAAATAGTTAAAATAGTCAATTGTTTCAGTTAAGTGTTTTTCATTGCAACTGCAATGAACCTTAATATCATAACACACTTCCTTGAGTGTGGAAGTCTATTTTCTGAAGAGATAAATCCCAGATTTTTAAAATATCTGGGATGTTTACAGCAGAGTTAAGGCTAATTAAATTTAAACAGGCTGCTTGGAGTATGGTGACACTCTTGGGCAGCTTCTTATCCTATGGGATGATTATGTAAATCTTACAAACCAAAACTTTAGGTGTTTATGAAATTGGCTAGCTTGAATTCGGCAGAAGTTATCAGGGAAATATTGATCTAAATTAGGTCTAGAGTTAGAAGCTATAAATTACTTCATGGAATGGAACAACAAAGGGAGGGAAACTGGAGACTCTGTTGAACAGCCTGTTTGTTATTGCAACATAGTAGTTGATGAGCTATGAGGTTATCTTTATATCCCAATATTATCCAGGTTCAGTTTCAGCACATGAGAATAGGACCCAACAGCACTTTATGCAGTTTATGCAGATCAGGTACTGAATTACTGAATCAGTAATTTGCAGTATCCAGTAAAATCTGTGCCCCTTGGAGTTAAGGGAATGGAGGTGTGGACTAGACAGAGGGGAATGGCTGCATGACAGAGTAATAATGTTAATGGGGACCAATGTATCAAAGGTGGAGCTGAGGATGTTGCTCAGCAGGTTGATAGCTGCACAGATATTGTCGTGAATAAAGGGCCAAAGTGAAGACATTTAGGGAGCAATCCTTTATGTACACATGGTCAGCCTGCGTCACCGCATACTGCCCTCAAAGTCACTGCGGGTGGGGGGGCTGTGGGTTGAGACTGTCACACATCTCCTTCGGGAATGTGTCTTTGCAAAGGAGGTTTGGAGGAAGATGTAGTGGTTTTTGTTGAGGCTCATCCCGAGCAGCTCTGTGACACAGGATTCTGTGCTCTACAGTCTGTTCCCCAGGACATACACAGTGACAAACATCGACTGCACCTGGAGGACCATCAACTCAGTGAAAGATGTTCTTTGGTCTGCCCAAACCTTGTTGGCCTTCTAAAACAAGGAGTTGACCAAAACTGGCACATCCCAGGGTCCAGGACTATGTGCTGAGGGACACACTAACACTTGATGCAGCTACCACCAAAGCACAGTGGGGAAAGACCATTGTCTGAGGTCTTTCATTGAAGGTAAATGGGGGTCCGTTCAGTTATCAAACCCTCATAACACCTCAAAAAGATGAAAATATTAGTTTTGTGTAAGAGAGATCTTTAGTTTTTTTGGGATAGAGTCAAAGTTCAACATTTTGTTTGTTTGATATGCAACTGAGCAGAACCAAACTGCTTATGTGTCAAGGTATATATACAAAGATTTTTATGAATAAAGTATATTTTTGAAATTAAAAAAAAATTGAAAGTGCAGTTGTTGGTGGATTGGAAAAGTTCTTTTTTTCCAACGGTTCAGAGGAAGTGTGGTTGGGAGTAGAAGGGGAATGTGAATTGAATTTGATGCAAGGAAGTGAGCAGTGATTGAAACCAAGCCACACAAAGCAAGAGAGTTCCAGGCACAGTCTCTAGCCTTTGCCAAATGTACAGAGTTTTGACCAGGAATATTTTTAGATGATAGCCATGGCTCATTTGACGGCACTATCACCTCTGAATTACAAGGCTCTAAGTTTAAGCCCAACTCCAGTATTTGAGAACAAAAATGAAGACTGATATCTGATGTCATACTGAGGATGTACTGCAGTATAGGAAGTGCCATCTTTCAGTTGAGATCTTAAATCCAGGCTCCAAACTCTCCTCTCAGATGGATGTAAATGATCCCATGCCATTATTTTAAAGATGAAAAAGGAAGTTGCAAATTTTGTATTTCTGAGCAGTGAACGGTGACACACCACCTTATACAGCAGGATTATTCACACCGCTTTAAAATGTCTGCTCCACGCTTACAGTTCTAGCTTCCAGCAGCTTCTAATATTTTGTTTATTTTTGCTGAGTCCACATCAGATTTAAGGAATCAAGCAGAGTGGACATCAATAATAAACAAACTCATGTTATCAAATGCAGAACAATTAAAAACTACAGGCATTAGCTTCAGTATCCTGGCCAGTACTTATTCAGTTAGCATCACAAAAATCAGATTGTAAGGCTGTATGACATTGTTGTTTGTGGATGTTTGCTACCACATTTGATATATTCCAAGTTCAGCAGCACTTCATTGGATGTAAAGAGCTTTGAGACACTCAGTGGTCATGAAAAGCATTTGTATAAATCCAAGTCTGTATTTTGTTTTATTTCAGGACTGTTTCATCCCAGAAGCCTTGAGTTAATGAAAAACACAATTGACAATAATTCGTATTCCAAATCAGTGACCAATGGCCCCCACTGAGTTGGTATCAGTTCAGAGGCTGGATTGAGATCTCACCACCACCACCGCACCCCACCCCCCCCCCTTCCCATGATTAACTAGTCTATCAGCACCCTCCATTTAGACTTTAAGCTGAAGAATGGCTGAGTTACCAGGTATTAGCAAACAGCAGTTGTCCCATATCCCAGTAAACTCGAAGAGTGAAGAAAACTTGCAGGGAAATTACAAATTATTCACCAGACTGATTCAATATTTTTTCATGATGTTACTCGCATTCTTTCTGAAAACAGATGTCGCTTTACCTCAGAGTTAAAAAAAAACTTCAAGCATGCACGCTGCTTCTGATTTGATTTGCTGAAAGCCATTTTTAGAGTACGTTTATAATAGATCAGTCTGAACTGGTTTTTAAATCCTAGTGTGTACACTTCCATCTCCAGCCAAGTCATGTGCTACTTTCAGTGTCGCTCCAGAGTTTCCAGACTCTGATTGGCTGTCATTAACTCCCTCAGACGGTCCCCCCTTCCAACACCAGCACAATCCTGAGTTCCTCTGAGAAATCTCCTCTACGGCATCTGCCTGCCTGTCTATGACTCTCACAGTTAGAATGGAATAAGTTAAGGAGTTTCAGCAGGGTTGTGCAGTCGGCTCTCAGAGCTTGCCGGTGGAAGTCTGTTCCTCCCTGTTTTTTCTTCACAAGACACCTCACCCAGAAAAGAAAGTAAAAGACCCGAGGCAACAAGAGGAGCTGTCTCAAGACTTTTCTCTTTTTCATAAAACTGTGGTCTACCCTTCATCAGCTAAGCGAGAAGAACATCACTGAAAGTTAAAGGGTATGTGGAGTATGCTTATTTATGTTCTGTGCAAACTATCCTTCATGATAAAAAAAAAGTTGAGCCTTGGCGACTGCTTTACTCAGATGAATTGGAGCAACAGTGCCGCTTTGGTTGTACTTATTGTAACCATGAAGAAAGCCTTTTGCGAAAATCTGTGAACTCCCGGTGGCATGACATTTATATCTAATGCTGTAGGCTTGTTTTGTGTTTAAGTAATGGAGAGAATGAAATTAGAAGCTTCTATCAAAGAGTTTGGGGAGAGAGAGAGAGAGAAGTATCTGGAGAAAGATTTACTGATTCGTAAAGGTGTAATCAAACAATCACAGTTATGCTTTGAGCTCATGGCTGTACTATGTTGAATCCTGAGTTATTTTCACATCGCGGTGCTGTTATCACAATGTTGCAGAAATAAGTTTCGTGATGAGCAGAATGGACAGTTTCGAAGTTACTCTGACGATTTATCGGCAATTCTATCCACATGGAGACATTGGAAAGCGTGCTTCGGTTATTTCTCTAGCGCTGGGATTTTGAAGTGGTGTCATCTCGAACATGGGTCTGCTTGCTAACACACACACACAGTAACATTGAGTCCGCTTTTGCTGTGTCACGCCGAGAGCTATCTCCATGTACACAATATAGTTACAGCGACAACAAACAAACAAACAAGTGTAGCTGATGTCTAGCAGCGTGTTAGATAGGGCAGTGAGCAGGATCCATGTGATCACGGCTCTTACTGCTGTACAGTGTATATTGTCCTATGGGTTTGTTAGATGTATTTATAAAATAGTTGAACACCTAGTTACCAGACTGTGTGTAATTTAATCGAGGGAGTTCAAATGGCATCATAAAAAGCAAGTGTAGCCCAAGCAGTTTATAAATGTTATCTGAAACCCTTGCTTAAGTACCAGCATTATAGCCTTTATCTGACTCCCTGAGATCTGATATTTAAAGGAATATTGACTTTATTTAAATAAAAGGGAAACTTTCTTTTCCCCCACTTGTTAGGAAATTCAGATCAAAGGGCACCACCAGGTCACTTTTAGGTGAAATCGGTGTGACGAAAAAGATCATACACATATTCTGACGCCTTTCGATTCCCCTATTATTTTTTTCACCATGACAGTACCTCTTTAACAGCTACGTAGAACATTCGCTTTCATTATTTGCCGACACTTCCATTTTCTTCCTCGTTTCACCACTCACCATTCACAGAAATTCACTTTGTCTTTAAATCTGGTTTATTGAGAAAATGATTTGCTGTCTATGTTTCCGGCATAGATTGCTGCAATAAAACAACTATCCTCAAGACTTCTGAGACTTGCCGTTACATTAATTTCGTCAGTGCCTTTTTTTTTTAATCAGTATTAAGTTTTACTTGAATTGGCTCATTAACCATATATCAAGACCCTGCACTCTTCACTCAGAAGCGTTCTCTTGTTCAGGGTACGTCAGTTATCGGGGATGCTGTGCTTGGGTTGCAATCTGTTTGACCATATGCCTTTTATCTGCTGGTGCCATATCCGTGTGTATGTGTGTAGACCCTGGTGGTTGTAATGGTGTGTGAAGGACATGTTAGGGAGTTAGTCACTGCATGTGGGAGGAGCCGCCAGCAGAATCCAAAGGTCGTAGTAATTAGATTCTGTTGAATCTCTCTAAGGAAATGCCTGAGATGAATTAATTTCATATCATAGTTGTAAGTTTCATCGAACGAGCGCCCGTTAACGATTGTGTTCGTGTTACTGGCCCAGTGCAGAGCTGATACAGAGCTTCTGTTTGCTTTCTTTTTCCCCGGTGCCTGCTTATTCTTGTTTAATTCAAATATTTTTATGAGGTTAATTTGAAGAGAAAGGACTTACAGACGTTAGAAAACTAAATGTCCTTTAGGCAGGGGAATCAAGTCTCGGCAAGACTGTACCCGCACTAGAGAAATTTTAACTTTGGCGCCTTGGGATACAATGTAACAAAAATACTCGGTGAGGTCCGCTAATTGAATTCTGTCAAACAAGCGCTCAACAGTGTGATTTTTCGCGTACCATTTTCCATTGGTATTTGTGATAGGGGTTGCGAAAGAGCACGGGAATGGGCTCAGTGAATGTTACAAAGGCATTGGGAAAAGATCTTCTGCAAGCCACAGAAATTGCTGGATCACCGATTAATGGAGATTGCACAGCTCAGAAACAGACCCTTCAGCCCAGCGCTTTCTCAGCACTAAAGCTCGACAGTAAACACCTCCCCCTAGTAAGGCAACATCTGCAGAGCCAGCACATTTTATTAATGAGGAGTTTTCTTTTGTTTAAAATTGAGAATTTCAGAATTTGAGTTTAAGCTTAATAAAAAAAATCTCTGGCTTCAGGGGTTGCTGAATGGATGTTGTTGAGACAGCAAGTAAAGGGAGCATGGCAATTACATTTCAGGGTATCTCCTCGAAATTTCCTACCTGGATGCATCTTCATTTAGAAACTTGACTTGGAGCCAACATGTTCCAAATGGCAGAGGAATGATGGCTTGATGCCAGTCTGAGCTGCAAGTTAAATCCAGCCTCTTCAATCTGCCCTTCATTCTCCTCCTAACAACACTGTGGATGTAGCTTCAGCGATGGCTCACTACCACCGCCCCAAGATCATTTGGGATGGGCACTAAATCCAGGCATGCCCACAAAACATCAATGGGGAAAAAAAAATGCCAGCTCTCATCCGCAAATCCAACTGACAGGCCTGAGGTCAGGGGAGAAAAGGTAATGAATAGAGATCCACAAAACTGCTGACAGTGACTGAAGAAAGGAAATTAGCTCTCTGTTCCCCTTCCCCGAGGAAAGAAATGGTGGTGTAGTGTTAATATTCCTGGACTAGTACTTTGGAGGCCAGGCATATCTTTGGATTCAAATCTCACCATGGCACTGAGTGGGATTCAAATTAAAAAGAGAAACAAAATTGGAATGGAAAGTGTGTCTCAGTGATGACGACTATGCAACTGTCATCAATTGTCATTAAGTCCCATCTGGCTCTTTAGAATTCTGCCATTCAAACCTGGTCTACTTATCGGTGACTCCAGATCCACAGCAATGCAGTTCACTCCAAAATGGTCAGGTGAGGAACACAGACAGTCCAAGTCAATTCAGAAGGTGAAACAAATACTATCCCTGCTGCTGATGCTCATTTCTCAAAGAATTCTTTAAAGAGGTGATTTAAAGACAAACAGCGATTTAAGCCATTCAGTGCCCAGTGCAAGTGGACTGGGATGCAAAATGTAAACTCCAACCAATCAGCATCTTAAAATTGGTGTTAGATTGTAATTTTCATCTATAATCAGCTGTATGTTTTTGTAATGAGGCATTTTTTTATTTAGTTGTGGAACATGGGCATCGCTGGCTGGCCAGCATTTCTTGCCCATCCCTAGTTGGCCAGCATTTCTTGCCCATCCCTAGTTGCCCTTGAGAAGATGGTGATGAACTGCCTTCTTGAACCACTGCAGTTCTCCTGCTGTGGGTTGATCCACAATGCCATTAGGGAGGGAATTCCAGGATTTTGACCCAGCAACCGTGAAGGAACGGCGAGATATTTCCAGGTCAGGATGGTGAGTGGCTTGGAGGGGAACTTTGAGGTGGTGGTGTTCCCAAGTACCTGCTTCTCTTGTCCTGGAATTGGAATTGGTCATGAGTTTGGAAGGTGCTGTCTGAGGATCTTTGGTGAATTTCTGCAGTGCATCTTGTAGATAGTACACACTGCTGCCACTGAGCGTCGGTGGTGGAGGGAGTGGATGCTTGCGGATGTAGTGCCAATCAAACTCTACTATTTATAGGCTTCTATGAAAATCATAGCACTGGCCTCCAGTGTAAACTGGGTGGCTGAAGGTTGTGTTCCTAAAATTAAGCTAGTCTGTGCCAATACTCTTATGAAAAGCTAAAAAAGTATTGGAAATTGATCTGATCACAATACTGTCTCAATAAATCAACAAGAGATATTAGGGATGTTTCTCACCTAAAACAAAGAACACTGAAGTGGCAAGGGAAGCACAATCCTGGGTTTCTAAACAATGCAGGAATTGGCAGAGCGAATGTGAGGAAGCTACTAGTGTGGGAAAAATGATGAATGAAAGATTGAATGTAAGCTGCGGAAATCTCAGTTTAAACCAAACTTCAGGAGTAACTAGTTTCCACTTAAAGCTATCCCCATGTTGGAGCTTGACACTTGGTTTTTGAATGACCATTGACATTCACAGGAAATTAAATGGAATATCTGATATTATGAATCTCACTATGTTAAGGGACACAGATTAATGCAAAAATATTCTAGATTGCTGACTGCAATTACCAACTGTGCTCCATCACAGCAATTTCCAACAAGCCAAAATTACAAGTGGGAAAGCAATACAAACTTGATTTTTTTTTTGCATTGATTTATGACAATTGCAGGACATTCTAATACACTTTGAAGCTGGGTACTTGTGGATTTAGTCAATTGTGTAATGTTGATGGGAGAGAGAATTATATAAAACGTGCCTGTTCTATAAAATAGGCTTATATCATTATGGAGGTTTGTTGCAAAATATTGATGTAATTGAAGAAGGGAAATATTCAAAACGTTAAGTGGATCTTGTTAGTAAAAATAAACAGGCCTGTGAATAATTTTCACATGTAACTTAATGTTTACTAATTGGCAAAAATTACAGCATCAAAACTTGCTCACCAACAAAGGAATTGCTTTGTAGCAGGAACTTCCTATTCTTGATTTATATCGTCATTTAATCAACAATGAAGAAGTGTGACAATAGTCTGGTGTATAGGCATGACCCTTTAGAACTGAAATGAGGAGAAATTTCTTCAGCCAGAGAGCGGTGAATCTATGGAACTCATTGCCACAGAAGGACGCCAACTCACTGAGTGTATCGCACATAGATTCTTGATTAGCAAGGGAATCAAAGGTTACAGGGAGAAGGCAGGAAAATGAGGTTGAGAAACCCATCAGCCATGATCAAATGGCAGAGCAGACTTGATATTA